CATATAATACAAAATAAAAGCATTTTGGGCAATGACTCTTTTCTGAATGTTTCTCTCTCTCTCTCTCTCTCTCTCTCCGTTTATTTCCACTTCTGTCTCTTTCTTTCGTCCTGCTCCCCTCTCACTCTCACTCTCTTTCACATATCTTATCAATTTGTATTTTAAAGAATCAATATTTCTCCGTTTGGGTGACTGATCACATGTTGTAACTTCATTTATGATCATGGGGGATTATCAATCATTTGACATATACAAATATTTTAAAGCTTCATCATCAGTACTTGATCTTCTGGGGTTAATTAAGTCAGAAGTGGGGCCTTTGTTTAACTCTGAGACGTACTTGTCACGTTTTGTCAGTGTTGATTTACCGAGATACGAGATTAATCAAGTCAAGTTTCTTTCTCTCCTCCACAGAAAAGCTATCATCGTTTTCTTTTTCTTACTATTTTGTTCATTTCTTACTTAATGGATAGCTTTGTTCACTGAAATATTAGACTATTTTTCATCTCCCCCTCCCGAACAGAAGATCTGTTACTAACATTTTCAACACAGTTTTTGACTTACGTAAAACTTGTGTAGATGTGTGTGTGTGTGTGTGTGTGTGATGATAACAGCTCGGAATTAAAAATTTGAGAGCCGAGTTCAAATTCCAGTCAATTTTCTTACATTCATTTAGTCGCAAATACCTTTTAGAAAAGTATGAATCCATCACTTCTCTCTCCAGCTACGGGTTTGTCCTGCTATTTAGCAGGACAAACTGGATCCTATAGCCTTGGTTTGAAACCAGTCGAGTGCAGAAAGTAACGGCAGCCTACTGCGGGAATTCCTCTGCCGAGGCAATCATGAATCGTAAAGAGATATGATCACCTAAGCATGCAGCATGCATGACAGCTAAGGAAGGAAAACTTGTCCTATGTGCCCTGTAACTTCACGATGTGTAATATCATGGCTCTCTACAACTTCCTATCTTTTGTAGCTCTTAGCAGTGTCTTCTTTTTACTATCCTTCACACGCTCTGTTGTGGCATACATTTATACAAGCCCGTTAGGTAGCTTACATGCTGCTTCCCTTTGTCCATCTTGCCTTCAATATGTCCTGTAAGTGTCGAATTTCCAAGCCTTCTCTCCTCATTATGTGCCCTGGAAATTGCAACAGATTCTTTCTGAATCTAAGTATAAGTCTCCTTTTTGTTTCCATTAAAACTTCCTTGAGACTCACTTGTTCAGTCTATGGAACTCTTAGCATATGTTAGTACGTATCAGGTTTTCTCTTCATCTGTGAGAAAACTGTCCAGTATTTACTGCCATATAGGAGGATTGATATTATCTAGAAATCCAGCAGTCTTTTCTTTGTTTCTAACAAAGTTTTTGTGTACAAACTTCTTCTATGTGCCATGTCAATTCACGACATCATGGCTCTCCACAACTTCCTGTAGTTCTGAGTAAAGTTTGTCTTTTTGCTATATCTGCTAATCCCTGTTCTGCCAACCATTTACACAAGTTTGTTAGGTAGGTTATGCACTGTTTTCCTCTGTCCCTCTTGTCTTCAATATGACATGTGAGTGTTAAATCTTCTAAGCCCTCTTTCCTCATTATATACCCTAGAAACTTCAGCCATCACTTTCTGATTCTAAGAATACGTGTACTTTTTGTTTCCATTTTTCTTAAAACTTTGTTGTTACTCACATCTTAATTCCATGTATCCTCAGCATCCTTCTGTAGAAGCACATTTCTGTTGCTGCAAGTCATCTTCATCTTTGAGCAGATTGTCCAGATTGACACCTAAGGAAGGAAAACTTGCAATCATACAGAAAGTCAGATATTACATAACAGTTCAGTACTCTTTTTTTGTTGTTTCTAACAAGATTTTCCTGTTTCTTAATACTTTACTTAGCTTTTGGAAGGTATCATTTCAGTATCATATTTTCCATCCTCCAAATGCACCTTCAAATGAAGTTTCAGTTTTATTACTTTTGACTAGTATTTTTTTATCTTAATTTCCATCCTCATCATATTGCTTTGAATAAAAGTTGGACATTTTATTTCTGATGTTATTTTTATTATTTATTATTATTCGAATTCTTACACTGAAATGAAGTATTGTCACTTTTTTATTTTTTTTTTTTTTTTTCTCCGATGAAGTTTTTTGACTAGTATTTTTTTTATCTTAATTTCACTTATTTTTATAAATGTGTTGTTTTGTTCCATTTTTATATTCCACAGATTATTCTTGTTTTCAATTTCATATTTTCTATTTCCATTTGTAAACAGCATACATTGGTTGCTAGCAGAGTTGGAACCTTTCTGGTTTTTTTGACAATAATGAGATTCATATTTTATTTCTGATCTATACTTATATAGTCTTTATTATTATTATTATTATTATTATTATTATTATTATTATTATTATCGTGTGTTATGTTTCCTTCTTTGTATCCTGTAGAGCTGGGCCCAAACTATGGTCCTTAGGCCCTGTAGGCGAACTGTCATTTAATTGATAGCACTTTTCTTAGTATATGGGATGTTCCTGGGAGGGCGATCTTCTGGGCAACTTGTGTATTGATGTTACCTGGGACACTCTTAGTAAAATTGTCCATTCCTTTTCTCACAAAGCCCATAGCTCTGATTACTATTGATACAGTGTCAGTCTGCATTTCCCACAGCCTGTTAATCTCTATCTTCAGGTCCTTGAATTTGGACAATTTCTTAATAATTTTTATGAAGGTGTTTCTCTCAGATGGTACTGCTATGTCAATAAGATTACAATTCCTGAATTTTTTGCTCGTTCCGGACATCTAGAGATAATATGGTTGACAGTTTAATATTTTCCACAGATTCTGTATTTGGGATAGTTCTATCCTTGATTATGTGACAATGATAGGATCTGGTTGCAAGGCTTTGGTTCTGAGATGGTATAATTAATCCTTCTGTCTTATTTTTCAGCCCGATTCCTCTCAGACACTGATGTGTTTTTCTGTTGATTCACATCTGCTTCTTTCATTATTATTATTATTATTATTATTATTATTATTATTATTATTATTATTATACTAGTTTTAATCTACCATATTGCTTATGTTAAACACTCTGGATTGGTATATTCTTCATTACTTTTTATTATGATTTTACTTTATTTTATTATTGTATCTTTTTATCAAAACACTCACAGTCAGTACTCACTTCATTACTATGCTTATTTTGCAACTAATTTTCTTGACTTTTATTATTCCTCTTCTTCTATATGTCATGTCCTTTCACAATCTTGGCGATCATGGCTCTCCACAACTTCTTGTTGATTGTACCTCTCAATAACCTTTGTCTTTTTGCTATCTCTCTCAAACCCCCCTCCGCCATCCATTCACTCAAGCTTGCTAGGTATTTTGTCCTCTATCTCTCTAACATCAATCTTTCCTTCTATGTGCCATGTTCCTTCAGGACGTTGGCGAACATGGCTCTCCGCAGTTTCCTGCCTTTTGCAACTCTTAATAAATTTTCTCTTTTTGTTATCTCTCCTAAATTTCCATTGACTCAAGCTTGCTAACTAGGTTATGCTTTGTTTTCCTCTGTCCCACTTTCCTTTAATTTGTCCTGTGAGTATCAAATTTTCTAAGCCCTCTTTCCTCATTATCATACCCCAGGAATTTCAAGTGTCTCTTCCTGATCTTAGTATAAGTGTGCTTTTTGTTGCCATTATCTCTAGGTCTTTATTGTTGTCCATATGGTATTCTCAGCATCCTTCTGTAGAACAACATTTCTGTTGCTTCGAGTCTCTTCTTCATAAGTCAATTTACTCTTCATTATAATTATTATTTTGTAACTAGATTTGTTACATCTTATTACTGATTTTACTCCAACAGTCAATATACTTTTCATTATTATTTTATTAGTAGTTTTACTCCATCATTTTACTTTTACATTTTATGGTTCAATACACCTTTCATTATTACTATTAGTTTATTACTACACCTTTCATTAGTTTATTACTACACCTTTTATTACTATTAGTTTATTACTACACCTTTCATTAGTTTATTACTACACCTTTCATTACTATTAGTTTATTACTACACCTTTCATTAATTTATTACTACACCTTTCATTAGTTTATTACTACACCTTTTATTACTATTAGTTTATTACTACACCTTTCATTAGTTTATTACTACACCTTTTATTACTATTAGTTTATTACTACACCTTTCATTAGTTTATTACTACACCTTTCATTACTATTAGTTTATTACTACACCTTTCATTAGTTTATTACTACACCTTTCATTAGTTTATTACACCTTTTATTACTATTAGTTTATTACTACACCTTTCATTATTTATTACTATACCTTTCATTACTTTAGTTTATTACTACACCTTTCATTAATTTATTACTACACCTTTCATTAGTTTATTACTACACCTTTTATTACTATTAGTTTATTACTACACCTTTCATTAGTTTATTACACCTTTTATTACTATTAGTTTATTACTACACCTTTCATTAGTTTATTACTACACCTTTCATTAGTTTATTACTATTTTATTACTATTAGTTTATTACTACACCTTTTCATTAGTTTATTACTACCTTTATTACTATTAGTTTATTACTACACCTTTCATTAGTTTATTACTACACCTTTTATTACTATTAGTTTATTTACACCTTTCATTAGTTTATTACTACACCTTTTATTACTATTAGTTTATTACTACACCTTTCATTAGTTTATTACCTTTTCATTACTATTAGTTTATTACTACACCTTTCATTAGTTTATTACCTTTCATTAGTTTATTACTACACCTTTTATTACTATTAGTTTATTATTTTCATTAGTTTATTACTACACTTTCATTACTATTAGTTTATTACTTTTCATTAGTTTATTACTACACCTTTCATTAGTTTATTACTACACCTTTTATTACTATTAGTTTATTACTACACCTTTCATTAGTTTATTACTACACCTTTCATTACTATTAGTTTATTACTAC